AAGATAAAGATAAAGAAGAAGAGACAGTTGAATAATGGAGAGAGTAACTAGTTTACTTATCTATCAAATATCTTTTTTTTTCTTCTTATTTGCAACTCTCCAAACGCCGTCGGATGCTCGCCCTGTGCTACGCCAACGCCCGCGATCTCGTTTGAAGTTTCCAAAGTGCCGTCGGGTTGAAGTTGCCCTCGATAAGGTTATAAACTTGTCTTCGCTCTGTTTCTCCAGTGCCAGTCACATCCGTTTCTCCCCGTCTCTCTCGCTATCTATCTCTATTTATCTCTCTCTCTCCTCTTCTTCTTCTACTACTTCTTCATCTTCTTCTTTCTCTCTCCCTCTGATTCTTATTGTAGAGAATGATTCGAAGAAATAATACGTATGCAGATGTGTCAAAATAGGAATGGGCGTTGGGAAACCCGTTGCTACTTCGACCACTGGATGAGTCTAACATGAATGGAATAGGGAGACTGAATGTGTACGTTCTTGGAATTGTACGCGTGTGTGTGTGTCTGTGTCTGTGTGCTGTGTGTGTCTGCGCGCGCATGAGTTCAAAGGGAAAAGCGGTCTTTGCCCCCTTGGGACCTCCCCCCCCCTACCCCTTCCTGGCTGGGGCAGGGAGTTCCCCAGTGCAAAGCCTGAGGAACTTTCCTAGAAGCGCCATCCCTGACTGGTGCTAGAGGGAAGGGGGGGGTGCAGAGAGGAGGTGAAAGGAGGGAGGGCACGAGGAGGTAGTGGAGGGAGGGGAAAGGGTAGGGGAGTGGAGGAGGAGGAGGAAGGGAAAGGGGAGGGGAAGAGGAGGCATGAGAGGGAGGGGAAAGGGGGGGATCAGATTAGGTGTGGATGATATTCGGCCAGCCATGGATTTTATTAGTAGTGCAGGTGCCGACGGTGACGGTAGCAGTGGCATCTGACTCAAGAATACTCGCGCAGACACACATACATACACAGGTGTTCCAGGTACCTTTAACAGTGTACTGTACGAGAGGGATTTACTGTTGTGTTTTTGCCGACTCCAATTACAAGGGAAAATTTCGAAATTGCTTTTCTAAGTGACAGTCTGAGTCGATGACTTGAGAGCGGCGTGACACTAAGAAATTAAACTGGAAAAGAGGTGCTTGGAGAAAGCAGAAGCTATAATTAACAAGTGACCGTGAACTTTCTCATGGGCAGATCATCGCACGAACTGACTTGCACTACACCATACCGGTCTTTGCTCTGACTTGTGATTCGCGAGAGACATTGCGTTCATTAAGAATCAAGACGAGGAAGTTAACAGAGTTGCAAGACACACAGGCTGAATGCTAGTGGCACTGGATAGCTTCAGAGACTTCATCTTCAACGCACGCACGAACGCAAGATTTAAAGAGAGGAGTGACTAATAACGCTAGAGAGAGAAAGAAAAAAAAAAAGAGATTAAGCAAATGAGAGGTTAAGGAGGTGGTCACGCAAGCTGGAGAGGTGAACGCCTTCCACTTGATTTTTTTCCCCCTCCTTCCTTCTCTCTTTCTCTTTTCTTTCTCTTTTTTTCTGTTACTTCATGACGTGGGGCGTGCGGCGCTTATCAAAGGTCGCTTCCTCTCTCGGACGGACGGCGTCGGATGTCTCCTCGACGGCCCACACTTCCTCGTTCACATCCTTCGAAAGGTCACTTGCTGAATCTCCTCGGAGTCTTTGAGGAAATTTTGAAGGATTCTTTAAGGAAATTTTGAAAGATTCTTTAAGGAACCTTTTAAGGGCTCATTCAAGGAGTGCTTGAAACACTTTGAAGGATTCTCTCAGGAAATATTAATGGATTCTTTGAGGAAACTTTGAACGAGTGGTTGAGGAAACTTTAGAGACTTCTTTGAAAGAGTGTTTGTGAATATATTTTTGAAGGATTCTTTACGAAAACATAGAAAGAATCTTTGAAGGAGTGCTTGGGGAAACTTTGTATGAGTGTTTAAGAAATTTTATTAAAAAGAAGATAATGTTGTGTTAATGAAACATTGAACGAATTTTGTCGCATCTTACCTTACTGATACGAGGTACTGAAGACCATTAAGGTACAGAACTCTACTACGAAGAGATCAAGGTAAGATTAGATAGACACGTGTGTATAACTCGCGAAGAGAAAGAAAAATAAGTGATTTATGTAGTATTTGTTTAAAAGGCAATAGACTACCTTTACCTAGAAATCTCAACGGAAAAAAATAAAACTAATTTTCATAAATTTCCCTAAAATTTGTACTAATATATATATATATATATATATATATATATATATATATATATATATATATATATATATATATATATATATGACAATTTTGCTTATAGTTCCATCGCAAGAATATTTAATTGCATCGGAAAAAAAAATATTAAATGGAACCTCCGTCGAAAAACATTTTACCTAATAAGTCCCTAATAGAAAAAAACACAAAGAAATTTGCATAATTACCTTAAGCAAGAGTATACCTACTGAAAGGGAAAGGTGATAGAATAAAGCACTTCATATTCCTCGGAACGAAAGGTACAGGAGACTGGCGAGAGGTTATTGACCTTTCGAGGAAAACGATAGTGCTTCAAGTGGGTACTTTGGCTGCAGTATTTATGGGAGTTTTATCGGTTTATGTGCACGTGTGTGTGTGTGCGTGTGCGTGTGCATAGGTGTATATGTGGGTGGGTGCGTGTGTGTGTGTGTGTGTGTGTGTGTGTGTGGGTGTGGGTGTGGGTGTGGGTGTGGGTGTTTTATCTGAATAATGGTACACCTTTGAGAATCGATTTCCATACATACATTTCGTACAGATATCTTTAATCTTTGTCTTTCATTTTTATTGTGTTTATATATTTATTACTTAAAAAAAAGTGTATACGCATCTCACTAAAGATTAACGGGTCTGTTGAACAACGTACCTATTTATGTGCAATTGACGGTGTGTGTGTGTGTTTTAACTTCTATACACTTACTAAGACGCTTGGATATATGTGTACGAATTCGAAATTGGTCATGTATGATAATAATGATGGTGGGATTATGACAAGGATTAAGATTGTATTCATGATGATGATAATAATAATCACAATAATTATCATAATGATGATACTACTACTACAAATACTAATACTAATGATTAATATTCTAATGATACTGACAATAATAGTAATAAAAATGATAATAATTATAATAATAATGATAACATTGATAATAATTATAATAATGATAATGATAAAAATAATGATAACAATAAAAGTATTAATGATAATGATGGTAACAACGATGATGGTGATATATAATAATAATAATAATAATAATAATAATAATAATGATGGTAATGATTATACTACTACTACTAATAATAATAATAAGAATAATGTTGGTAATGATAATAATAGATTATAACAATAATAATATTGATAATAGTAATAACAACAATAATGAGAATAATAATATTAATAATAATAATGATAGAAATAAGAAAAAAATGAATAGGAATAATAATGATACTGATAATAGTACTAATAATCATAATAGTAGTAGTGATGATAATTATCATATCAATGTTCATGATTATAATGATAATGATAATAGGAATGATAATGATAATAATGATGAAAATAATGATAATAATGATGAAAATAATGATAATAATTACGATGATAATACGGATAATAATATTAATGATCATAATGATAATATAATAATGATAATAATTACGATGATAATACGGATAATAATATTAATGATCATAATGATAATATAATAATGATGATGATAATAGTAGTAATGATAATAGTAATGGTAATGATAATAATTATAATGATAATAAAAGTAATAATAAAGATGATAATAATTATTATAATAATAATGATAATGATAATAACAGTAATAGTGATGATAATAATGATAATAACAATGATCAAAATAATAACATGATGATGATCATATAAATAAGAGAAAGAAGAAGAAGAAACAAACCAATCGAATACAAGCGGATAACAATAAGACTTATTTTCATTTATTTTTTCCTTACGCTTTGTACCACTTTCACTTTCTCCGGTTATTACAAAAAAAGAAGAAAATTACTGCATCATCCTTTCATAGAGGAAGATAAAAAAAAAAAAAAAAAAAAAAAAAAAAAACATTGCAAAGCAGTTTTTCAAGTTGAGCTTTCTATTCTCACTTGCAAGTTCTTTCGACGGACGAGTTTGATCCGAAAAGTCTGCAATTGCAATGATCTTGAGTGACATTTTTATTGGCAGAGATTTCGGTGTCATTTACGAGTTGACGAAGGTTTCTAATACTGTTGTTTTTTTTTTTACTTTTTTTTTTTTTTTTTTTTTTTTTTTTTTTTTTTTTTTTTTTTTTTTTTTACTTTTGTGGGTTTTTTTTTTTTTGGGGGGGGGGTATAGGAACGAGTTTTGGGTTTGTTTTTGTTTTGTTTTTTGATTCTGTTTTTGTTGTGAATGTTTGTTGAGCGTCGATAAACGAGAAGAAAAAAAATTATATATATAATAGATTCCTCTACGTAGTCATGAACTTGACACCTCTCTCTCTCTCTCTCTCTCTCTCTCTCTCTCTCTCTCTCTCTCTCTCTCTCTCTCTCTCTCTCTCTCTCTCTCTCTCTCTCTCTCTCTCTCTCTTCCCATCTCTCTCTCTTCCCATCTCTCTCTCTCTCTTCCCATCTCTCTCTCTCTCTCTCTCTCTCTCTCTCTCTCTCTCTCTCTCTCTCTCTCTCTCTCTCTCTCTCTCTCTCTCTCTCTTCCCATCTCTCTCTCTCTCTCTCTCTCTCTCTCTCTCTCTCTCTCTCTCTCTCTCTCTCTCTCTCTCTCTCTCTCTCTCTCTCTCTCTCTCTCTCCTACCCGAAGAACCCTAATTAAAGCCAGCACTTGCTCCATACCCTCCCCCCCCCCCGTTCTTCTTATTCACAGTCATATTCTTCTTACTCCTATTCTTATTCCAGAAACAGGCCCTCCATTCACGAAAACAGAGACTCGCAACTAACGCCATCTCTTGCCCACAGAATGCAACCCCCATCGAGACCCAACATGCTCCTGATGGCGATGACGCTGACGGTGATGGCTCTGATACCCGGTTCCCTCGCGGTGCCGGCCAGGGAACGCCCCCTCAAACCCTGTCCCGATGGCTTCCAAGCAGTGGTAGTGGACGGCAAGCAGGACTGTGTGTGCGCCGACTACCACGTGTACTGGCCCCACACCGGTCTATGCTACCCGGAGTTCACGAGGGGGCCTTGTGGTCGGGGCCAACAGCTGGCGGCTAATGACACGGGACATGCTGAGTGCAGGTCGGTTTGGTTCGGCTGTTGTTTTATAAGGTCGGGTGAGGTCATTGGGGGAGGAGGAGAGGAGGAAGATGAGGGACTCGAGAAAAGGAAGTAGGAAATGGGAGAATGAAGGGGAACTGATAAATAGGAAGTGAGGATAAGGAATGAGAGGAAAGGAGGAAAGAATGGGAGGATGATTGAAAAGAAGTAAAGATAGGAAAAAAAACGAGAAGGGAGATGAGAGAAAGAACAATTAGCGTTGAACAAGACGAAGCATATTCAGTGAAAGGTGACCTGTTTGTTGTTATTGTTATTTGTTTAGAAGGGAGAGGTCAGGGGAGGACACTGAAGATGGGAGAGAAAGGAAGGAGGAAGGGAATGAAAGAAAAGCAAAAATGGGGGATACTAATTGCATATCAGATTGCTTTTGATATCAGAAGGCGAAACAGGCGAAATGAACAAAGAAAGGAAGGAGGGGAAAAGGGACGAAGGGAAAGAAAGGAAGATAGAGAGAGTAGAAAGGAGGTCATGCAGAGAGTAGGTCAGTTTGTTTTTGTGACGTCATAAAGGGTCACAAAAGGTCAGGGAGGAAAGGAAATGAGGAAGTAGGAGAGGAAGAGAAAGGAAGACGTGGAAGGAAGAATAGGGAATTAGTGAGATAAATTTAGAATGGGTAAGAGGGACACAGACGAAGAAAAGGAAAGGGATAATGAAGAAATGAAGGGGAATTAATAAAAAAGATGATATGAGAACGAAGTAAAAAAGAGATCAGAAAAAAAATCAAGAAGCGAAAGGAAGAAGGAAATAAGGAAAGGAAAGGTGAAAATAAAATATAAGAGGAGAGAGGGAAGTAAGGAAGCAAACAGGAGGCAAGGAAGATAGGAAAAGACCAACGGGAAGAAATCAAGGACAGTTTGGTAAACGAAACATTAAAAAATAAGGGAAAGGTAAAAGAGAATAATAGAAAGAAACTGGAGATACAGAAGATTGAAGAAAGAAAGAGCGGAAGAAGAGACATGATAACTGATGTGAAAGAGAATGTATTTGTAGAAAGAGTGACAGCAGGGCAGAGGTCAGAGTTTAGGTCACTGGTCAGTCAATGAAGATGAGGTCAAGGAAGTAGAGAGAGGAACATAAAGATAGCGGTTGACTATAAACAAAATGCAAGAGTGAAGAGATGCAAAAAGATGGAGGGAAGAGAGAGGGGAGGAGAGAGATAGAGGGAAGGAGAAGATGAGAGGGAAGGAGAAGATGAGAGGGATGGAGAAGGAGAGAGGGGAGGAGAAGGAGAGAGGGGAGGAGAAGATGAGAGGGATGGAGAAGGAGAGAGGAAAGGAGAAGGAGAGAGGGGAGGAGAAGGAGAGAGGGAAGGAGAAGATGATAGGGATGGAGAAGGAGAGAGGGAAGGAGAAGATGATAGGGATGGAGAAGGAGAGAGGGGAGGAGATGGAGAAGGAGAGAGGGAAGGAGAAGATGATAGGGATGGAGAAGGAGAGAGGGAAGGAGAAGATGATAGGGATGGAGAAGGAGAGAGGGGAAGAGAAGGAGAGAGGGAAGGAAAAGGAGAGAAGGAAGGAGAAGGAGAGAGGGGAAGAGAAGGAGAGAGGGAAGGAGAAGGAGAGAGGGATGGATGAGAGAGATAAGGAGAAGTAGAAAGATAAAAATCTGAAAGTGGAATCCAGGAGGATTTCGAAACTTGTCTCGTTTTTAATAAAGCCAACTTATGCATTGTGGGTTTTCTACCAGAGGTAAAGAGACAGAGAGAGGAAATGATAAGGTGAGTGGGAAGGAGAAGGAAAGAGGAAGAGGAAAGGATAAGGAGAGTGGGAAGGAGAAAGAAAGAAGGAGAGGAAAGGAGAAGGAGAGAGAGAAACAGAAACAGAAACAGAAAAAGACAGACAGAAATAGAAACAAAGACAGCGAGAGAAGGGAGACAGAAACAAAAGAGAGAGTTAGGAAGACAAAGAAAAATTAAATACAATCAAGAGGAAAATCAATAAATGAATCAATAAGATGCAATAACAGAGGAAAAGGGAAAGGAGGAGAACGTACAAGGAGAGAGTGGATGCAAGTCAAGTGGCGAAGGGGAAGGAGAGAAGGAGGGAGGCGAAGGAGGGAGGGGAAGGGAAGGGGAAGGGAGAGGGATGGGAAGAGGGGAAGGGAGAGAGAGGAGGGTAAGGGAAGATAGGGAAAGAGGAAAAGCGGAGAGGAGGGGGGGAGGAGAGCAGGCAGAGGGGGATGGGAAGAGGAGAGGAGGAATGTATATATACAAATATGTGAACGAGGAGGAGGAGGAGGAGGAAGGAATAGGCCAAACGAGAGAAGACAAATGGATGAGAAAGTTATTTAGATATTCGTAAGGCAGAAGAGTGGAGAAAAGTTAAATAATATTATATTTTCTATCTAAGTGCTTGTGTATTTGCTTATTTTTGTTATATATATATATATATATATATATATATATATATATATATATATATACACATGTTTGTAGTAATGAAATGGACAATAC